TTTTTCCTGCATATTTGACTATTAATTGTTGTCTATTACTTCTGTATTGTTGTGATTATTGCTTCAGGCGCAACAGATTTTTGTAAGGTTAACACTTGCAATTCCGGTTTTTAACTTTTAGGCTCTAGCTTCCTTTATATAAAAAAAAATTTAATTTCATTCTTGTATTTTAAAGATATATTTATTTTTCTTGTTTTGTTTAAAAATATATTGACTTTAACAATTAATTTATTTATTAATATTTTTTGGTTTTAAATTATTTATTTTTTGTATTTTGTTTCCTTTTATGTTTTTGTTTATAGATTGATAAAACTTATAATTATGCGAGTTTTTTTTTATTATTTTTTTAGTACGTAGTATAATATTGGTATATATCTTTTATGTTAATAAATATAATGAGAAACCTCAAATGAATATATCTATATATATATATATATATATATATATGGCTTTAGTTGGGTTTCCCAAAGCCAAATGTCAATATTACCATTACATTATAAAGAAAGATTATGTAAAGATTCACTATAAAAAGGAACACAAGAAAATAATTAGAATTATAACAGCTTTTACAACTTAAATGGGTTAAAAATTTTGTCTCAAAATGCATGAAGACTATACTACATTCAAATTCATAAAAAAAAATAAAATAAAATAAAAGTATAATCCTTGATCTGCTTCAGTTTATTCATGAAAAGCTTCATATCATATTTTTTTTTATGAGGATTGAGGCGAACAAGTAAATTAAAAACACAACCAATTAACACATGAAATTCATGTTTATGAGAACTTTTCATGTTTATGAGAACATCATCATTCATTATGTTGTTTCCTTTTCTTGGTCAAGGGTCAATGTTGTGGGTTCACAGTTCAAAGGGAAACCTACCACCCAGACACTGTTTGAATCACGAATTTCCTTTGCTTATGTTGTTTCTTTTTCCCAAGGCCTATTATTTCTGTATGGATATTGCCAGTGGGTGGCGCTGCCTTTTTCAACCGCTTGATTTAGGAGTTGGCCACTTCAAGGAAATTCCAACAAGATCTTTGCTACGTCTGGCGGGGTCCAATTATGCAACTGTAAGTAATCAGGTTTTCTAATTCTGAGGGCAATGAGGAGACTGGCAGTTAAGTGTCATTATCCAGGCACTCATGGTTCCACCAAATTCAGACATGCTACTATAACTTGTGGTGGCAGTTTTTTTTTTTTTTTTTTGGCATCACATGCCACATATATTTAAAAATTATTTTTGGACCAGCAAAATTGAAATTGATTACGCTTTGTTTGATTTCAAAAGGACTGATTGCATGAACTATATTCAATCAATTTAATAATACAAATATATTGTGATTTTAACATTTTCATAATCTTCAAAAAATAATAGATAATACATTTATACAAGTAAACATTTACAAATACGAGCAACTATCGATCAAATTATGAAATAAAACAACAAAATCACATTTAATTGAAAAGAAAGTCAACATAAAATTAAATTAAATTTATACATAATGAGAGTGAGATTCAAACTTAAAACTAGTAGTTATTCAGATAATTCGAAAATTATGTTTTATTTATAGTTCTCTCCACTTTTTTATTTGATCAGTTTGAAAAAAAGAAAAAACAAAGGAACAAGGGCATTGGCTAGAGCGAACATACTTTTTTTTTTTTTGGGTACATTGGAGTAGACTTTTTGCTAAATCACACAATATCTAGGTCATGATTTTTTTTTTTTTTTGTATTTTACAAATATATTCTAAAAATTTTATATAAAATCAAATAAATATAAAAATTTTATCAACTAAATTATAATCTTAAATATACAAAATTAAAACTCTCACTGTAAAACGCAAAAATATACAACATTTTAAATGTTCAAATTGCGACCTCTATTGTATTAAAAAAAACTTAGAATTTTAAAGAAAAATGTTTAATATTAATGTTAATCTGATAAAAATAGATATTACACTTTATCTTTGCCACAAACTAGAATGTGTTTTGTTTGTTCTTTCTCTACGTCACAAAGCTGCCCGTGGGTAAGCATTATTTTCCCAGCATCGTTGGATATATATGCATGTCTTTATCATTGAAGCATATTATTATATAAATAACGTCCACAATTCCAACTTTTCTTTTATTTATTTATTGTACGGACAATTCCGATTTTAATTAATCAATCAGATGAGAAAATTATAAGATTTGTGGACGATATAGACTGGATTCTTATATGTGGAGGAGAAAAAAAATTAATTGAGTGCCAGTTGTCAGATTACGCTTTCATAAGTTGCTTAGTTGGTTTCTAATTTTTGGAAGCAAGTCCAGATTTCGGTTGGAAACTCATTTCTTTGGGTTGTTCCATATGATCGCATTATTGCATCGCAAAATTGGAAGGAATAAAATAGGTCAAAGTCCTTTACTACTTTAATTTTATTATTTTACTCTTTTTGCAATCTAATTTTAATTAATTTAATATCTAAACTTTGATGAATTGGTGTTCGTTATCTCATTTGGGCTCAATTTCACTTATTTTCCAATTTAATACTTATAATGGAATAAGAATGCAAAACCTTAATCATTGATTTTTATGAATATACGCAATAAAAATGCATCATTGTCTCAAAAGGCTATGTGATTTTTTAAAGAATTTTCTTTCTAAAAAATTTAATTTTAGGTTTAAAAAAAAAATTCAAAAAAACAAAAGACAAAAATTCAAAAAAGTTCAAAAAAAAAAAAAGGAAAGAGAAAGGGAAATCATATTCACGGACAGGAAAAAGAAGAAAAGGGAAAGGAGTGACAGACATCAATTTGCTCGCTCCAAGAAGTAACTAGCACCTGTTGGAAGTGAGAAAAATTGAAAAAAATTAAAAATTAATTTGAAATTGTAGTGTTTAGGATTAGATTAATTATTTTTGATTTGGTTCAGATTCAATTTATATATTAAATTTGGATTAGATTTTTTATCAAAAAATTAAAAATTAAAAAATATTAAATCGAATTATATATTTTTATTAGTTTTTATGTATATTTTAAATTTTTATAAACAAAATAATTATTTTATATTTAAATTTATTTAAATATATTTAAATTTATATTAAAATAATATATAAAAAATAAAGTTTAAAAATCAATAAATCAAATAAAACTAATAAAATTTAATCAAATCAAATGTGTTTCAAAAAAAAAATTGATTCAAATTTGAATCAAGTTTTAAACATTTATAATATTATATATTATTTAAAAAAATCAAATCGAATTCGATGTTATCGAAATATTATCATCACTAGCACTAGCTATCCCTCCCTTTGTTATTTCTCTTTTCTTCTCTAACATTCCCTCTCTTTCCTATATTTTATCTTTTTTTCGATTTTTTCTTTATTATTATTTTTTTATTTTTAAATACAAAAATAATTTTTAAGAAAAATTTGGACACATCCAATAAAAATTTTAAAAAATATTTTTACACATGACTTTTTTTGGCAATTTTGAACACATCACATACTTAACTAATAAAATGAATTTATGCATGAAAATATAGTTCGAATACATAATTACAAATTTAAATTTTAATTATCAAAAATACAATTGTTTATAGTTCTGATATAACTAAGTCTTTTAAAGATGTTTCATACTATATTGGAATTTAATAAATATTTTAGCCTAAATAAAATGTTCTCTACAAGTCGATGGCTTTGATTTGCCATTAAAAAAGGATAATTACAAATCATTTTGGAAATAATGACTCAAATTTAATAGATTTGATAAAAATAAATAAATTTGAGATTTTTTGAAATTGATTAAATATTATTTGATGAAAAAGAGAAATTACAACGAAAAAATTAAAAAAAAAAGATTCTTTATAACCAAATTAGTATGCATATAAATAATGAATTTTTTTTTATTCATGAATGTAGACTATCTTTGATTGAGATTTTGTACCTAACAATTGAAATCAAAATTATTGTGATCCTAATCTCCAATCTGCAAAATCTCAAGGAACACCCATTTCTGCCAAAGCATCTGCATTCTGCCATCTATTTTGCATATCTTCTGCTTCCCTGAGAATATTTTGAAGAGAAATAGCTCCAACCTCAACTATGACCCCAAGCATTCATGCGACCCAAAGATCCTCTTCATAAAGAAGAATTTTTTTTAGCCAAGATCGATCACGTGTGCAATAAAAATAGGAGCCAAACTTACTAATCAATCATAATGTAGTGAACAAGGAGTCAAATTTCATTTGAACCAAAACTCTGATACCATGACATACTTTAGAGAAGAAAAAATTTAGTTTTGTTTCTAGGGCTCCAACCTTTCACATACAATTCAACTTTAACACAAGGCCCATGCACAAGTCAATGAAAATAAGCCCAAACGCAAAAGACATATTTTAACCAAAATCTCATTGTTGAAAACGGAAAAGAGCCGGCCCTTGACTCAACAGGAACATAAGTAATATTTGCTTTCCCATATATTTTTCTATTATTGATAGTTAATTGGGGAAGAAAATCCATATTAATTTTCTTTTTTATCATATCTTGAAAATACCAAGACAAATTGGTACAAAGGATGCATCGAATTTGGGTCAATGCCTTTGACTAATATCATTACAAATTCATTTGTTTTGCATATTATCATAGCTTGAATTTTCTTTTTTATCATAGCTTCATTCTTTTGTTATCAATTTGAAAAGGAAAGGAAAGACACTGCTTGATAGTTATTAATGGATGGAAGTACCATTTTTAACAAATTTAAACTCCATTCATTAGATACTTTTTATTTTTCCATTGGTCTTTGATTTTAGTATTCATTTTTAATTTTTTTTCTTTTCATTCATTTTTTTAAGGTAGTAGGTTTCTTTTTTTTTTTTTTTTTTTTACCACCGGTAGTAGGTTTCATTTTATTAACATATACATCATGCAAATATATACATGCATATATGTGTGAGAATTGATTTTAACATATATAGGGCAATCATTTTCAACCTTCTCTTCAAACTGTGATTCCAGTATGTCTGAATGCCCTCATATTTATGTACCTAGCTGCTAAATGCTATGGTAAGTGGACTTCAAGATAGCTTCTTCTGTAGATTCATCTCTGTTACTGTGGACTTCCAAGATAGCTTCTTCTGTAGATTCATCTCTGTTACTCTGGTAATTAGAATTGTGATTTTCTTGAACATTATTGATTTCAGGAGGACTGGTAGTAACAGTCGTCTCAGCTGTAGGTGGAACTCTTGATCCCGAGACATCATAAGAATTGCGGAAGATGTATCCTTGGACGATTCCTCTCAAAATATGGTTTTCTGAGACAAGCAAGGCTAAAAATGCAACAATCCCAATGACGATAAAAAGCCCTGCAAAGCTCCTTGAAGTAAGACTAGGGCTACTCGAAGAGATTGGCGCAGTCTCCTCTTGATCTATGGATATTTTGCCGAAATACTTTTTCTTGATTGAAGACATGTATTTTCCTTGAGTAAAATTTAGGATTGCCCTCGAAAAATTAGCAACAAGAGGAAAGCCTATCGGAAATGCCTGAAATAATAACAAAAATGCATAGAAAACTAATTAGAATGAGAGTAAACTGATTGAAGAAGATCATATAAACATAGATATATAGAAAGATAAACTTACAAAACCTAAACCATCGGTTCCGTAGGTGGGTCCAACCATCATGTAACCAGTAGTATATTCGGCGAGAAAGAGTTTAATATAGGGAATTTCATCAAAGATGGCATCAACTCCCTCATTGTCAGATCCCTTGGACAAGGCCTCCTGATAGTCATCAACAGAGCCATATGGTTTAAGCATAGACTCGTTAAACTCCAACTGGTTTATCAGGAAATGTCTTACGAATGACTGACTCTGGTAGCCAACATAAAGTGTTCTGAGTTCTTTGATACTCGGGATTGTCGGCTGTAATTGATTGACTGTTAAGATTGAAGAAAGATTTGCCGTGTAACTCTGTATCAAAACAAATGCCAAAAATATCCATATGACCAACACAAACTTTGAGCAGTTGGTTACTACCATGTCTCCTGTTGCCCAAAAAAAAAGGAAAAAAAAGAAAAGAAAACTCAGTTTAATTTGCTTGTCTATAATCATAGTTAGAATGTCTATAACCAGAGTATCAGACTATATATGCTCGTTGAGTCCATGTGAATGCATAGTCGAGACTAAGTGCACTGAAATAATTTATAGTAGAAAAAAAAGATTAGAGACGTAAAATGGAAGATACATTACTTTGAGGAATCGCAACGGATAGGCATGGAAGCATCAAAATTGTGCTCAGCTGCCTTCTGCGTGGTCCGTTGAATTCTGTATTTTCACGACGCTCTAAAACCCGAACAACAATCCCTATGAAAATGCAGATGGAGATTATTGTCAACCATAGATCCCAGCTCAAAGGCTTCAAGAATATCCACATGTCTTTTGTCCCATCGTGCCGAACTTTTACAAGCATGGCTACCCCTGTCTCCAAATATGGCAATGTAAAATCAACACAATTTGTCCTGCTAGCCACAATCGTGATATCTCCTACGGCAGAGTCGATTTTCTATAACATCCCCGAAAATTGCAAGAAATTATAAGAAATTTGCAATTCAAACAAATGTGATTTTAGTAATTGATTTAGGGAAAAAATTGAAGGAAATAGAACTAACCTTATCATTAACTTGGCAACAAAGATCATCATAAGGTCCATCAAAGGTTACAAATTCGTAATCAGTGTTGGGAGGTAAGGCCAAGGTCTCCCATACGGCTTTGAAAACCTCTATGGAGAACCCAGGTAATTTATCGTCATTGCCCTTCTTATTCCCAGGATTTATGTTCACAAATTCTGTGTACCCTTTCTTACTTGGAACCCCTATTCTCCACTTGTATCCAATGGTAGGCATATCGTATGACTTGAGTGTTCTTCGGATGTCTCCGGGTCTAATGATTTTTTTGAGCTTGCTCCTAGAAGTTGAATTTGCTGTTCTAGCTGAATCTAAATTTCTAAATATTCCCTTGGTAGGCGTCCAATAGGCAATCATCCTCTGTCCTTTTGCCGTTAAACTAAATATTTCAAAGGTCGAAGGCTGCAACAGCCCATTGACTAAGTCAAAATCTCCACTGATCCCTCTAAAAGTAGTGTCCAAGACTTCCTCAAGTATTCTCAAGAAGCCCAAATTCACAGTCCCAATTCTCTCCACAGTCATAGCTAATGCCCAAATTGTGTCATAAACCCACAAGCCAAAGAGATTTAGTTCACCTGCCTCCTTGTTTTGCTTCATCAAGGATAACCTTTTATATCTGGTTTTGAAGTTCCTGAGAGCTTTCGTCTTGGGTACATAAGGCCTTACGCCTATTACACCCTTCATTGAATCAATAGCCATAGGATCCCTGGTATCTAAAAAGTTGGATAAACCATCTGTCACAAGCCATGCAAATCCTTCGTTCATCATTCCTGCCTTGTTTGCAACAACAAACAAACGAGAGGCAAGCGCTGTAGTCATATGCACCACAAATACCTTACTTTGCAGGGTCATCAGCACTTTTAGCTCTTCTAAAATTTGAAAATCTCTGGTAGAGGTGGGGATTGCAATCTTGTGTGATAGTTCAATGTCCCTATTTTCTAATGCATCGGTTAAATAAGGAATAATTCTGTTGCCATACTCCATGTCTTCATATATAAGTATAACTTGGTTCCATTCAAATTTTTCCAAAGTGGCAACCATAGCTTTTGCTAGGCGAGAGAAGTCAGCTGAGGCTGTTCTGATAAGATAAGGACGGTCGGAGGGAGAAGAGGTTTCCTCAAGTCTTATTGCAAATGAGGCTTCAGCTGATCGTTGTGGTCGATATTCTGCATTCCATATAAGATTGTAAATTATTTATCCAAAAACGATAATAAAATTATAAATTTCAATAGTATACATCGGATGGGATGGGATATAAAGAGGGTTTGGTTTTAAGGGCACCTTAACCTTTTGTTATAAAATTTCATTTTCATTCTAAACCTTTTAACAAAGATTGGGTGTTGGGCAGTTTCAACAAAAAAAAAAAAAAGAGATTGGGTATTGAGTATCTATAACTGAATTAATTTTCATGCAATCTGATCTAATAATTGTTCTCCCAAACAATTATTTTTTCGTGTCACACTCATACTCCTTTGCATTATGTAATAGTACATAAATTACAAGATTTATTCTTAAGTTTTACTTAATTAGTACCTAATTAACTAAAAAAATAATTAGTTAACTTCACACTAATTAAAAAGCAACAACATGCTCTATGTTTTGAACATTTACATTGTTGTTTTTGTCCTTTAAACTAGAATCCTTTCGAAAAGAAGCTCGTTTCCCAAACCAGAAACTACCATTTTTTAAAAAAATAAAATCCTTACAGCTATTACACTGTCCAAATATGTTAAAGGCGAGTCCCTCTTGTCTCATTGCTTGAATTTGACAATTTTATTGCTTTATTAGTGTAGAAGAAGAAAATTTTTATCTAATTATAAATTGTTATGTTTTTATTAAATTTTTTCGATTAAATAATTAAAAAATTTTCAAGTGACAAATTATTTTGTGTCATGAAAGATTAATGACATGTTATAAACCAATCATATAATTAATTAAATATATTACTTGACAATTGAAGACAAATACTTTTGATTTGTCCAATCAAAATTAAAAAATTTATAGTGTAGTCAATTAAAATTTATTTATAAATAGCTTAATTTATCTCTTAACTAAAAATTAAAATAATTTAGAGATAAATTTAAATTTTACCCGATCAAAATTTAAAAAATTTTGAACATCCAATTAAATTTACTTATAAGTCATTAGTTTTAATTTTTAATTAAATAAATTATTCAAAAATAATTCAAAGAGGTTAATTTCTTTTAGAACTCTCTCTCACCAAACATGCTAGACTATAAACACAAATAGACAGTGCTCTTCCAAGTCATATGACACGGTTAACAAATTTTGACGAAACAATGAAGATTTTGAAAACTCAAAAGTCTTTTCAAAATCCCAAATATCAAGGTTTGAAAAATTAAATAATTTTAGAAAAACTTGTACAACATATATTTGGACTTGAAGAATTTTCAAAAAGTTGGTCTTTGACCTTGTCCCCAATAAAGGAAAACGATTAATTCCAATTGTTCAAGATTAAGGATTTCGGACCTTTGAAGTTGATTTTTCATGAAGAAAAGAATTAAAAGAATTTTTTGTTTTAAAAATTTTTAGAGATTGTAATTTTTAAATTTAATAAATAAAAATTGTTATTTATCTCCATTTTTTTAATTTTAATTTTTATTCAAAATTAATGTGTTCGATTTTTTGGCACCTCTGCTGGGACACAAAAATTTTGAGTGAGTCAAGATTGAAAAATTAAAGACAATTTTTTTCCACACAAATAACAATTCTAATTTATCAAATTAAAAATAAAAATAAATCTTAATTATTGGAATTAAAAATCTAACAATATAAATTTTATCTTTTTTTGTCCCATCACTTTTTAATTTCAAGTTTTCATACTTTTGAGCTTAATTTTGTTGTAGTCTTTTCAATATATTCCCTTGGTCTCATTTCTTTTTTACATCTTTTTTTTATGTCCCAAACCATTTTTTTAATACTTATATCTCTTAACTTTTCTATTCCAATTTTAATTTTAATATTTTTTATTTTTTGTCGTAAAAATTTATAGAACATCAAATTTATTAAAAAGTTTAAATTTTAATATTATATACACCAAAAGTCAAAACTATGTTTTTTTTAAGTTCAGTAAGAGTCAACGAGGGACCACCAATATGGGATGAGGAGGGTAATGAATAATAAAATTGTAACTCATGGGATTTGATAACAAAAATGATTTCTAGTCACTAACTATTTAAGATCATATTTGGTATATAAGATAATGAATGAAATAATATGATAATTATTTTATATTATTTTTAGTTTATATTTAATTGAAAATATAGAATTATAAGAAAAATTATTATCCTCTTAGTATAAGATGATTTGATCTTCTCAAAATGAAAAAAATTATTTTTAAGTCATGAGATTAAATTTACATATCTTATTATATCCTAAAATATTATATCAATAATTTAAATTATATAATATATTTTCATATTTTATAGTAATTATGTGTTTGTACTAAAATCCTAAAGCCTCACCTTTAATTTTTAAAGAGAAGAAATTGAAATGTAATGATATCACAATTAAAATTGTTGTTCCATTAGAGACGTACAACTTTTTGAATTGATGATCAGTCCAATAATTAAAATAGTTGTAAACTCTAAAATCTAATAACATATGTGTATATTTATAGTTGAGTTTTTGTTTTACATCATTTATGAAATTACTTGGTGCAAATAGAAATTACAATTACAATTAAATAAATTTTAATATATACATATATATATATATCAAATAGTACATCCATGAAAAAAATCAATAAACTAACAAATCAAGCAAACCTTAATATAAAGTTGAACTAAACTTATATATATACGATAAAACTTGAACATGCAACTAATCGCTTCAAAGCTTTTTTCTTGTCATTGAAACATGACCTCATTCACAAGTTTTTGTTCTACTAATCACATTTGGTAGTTTTTTTTTTTTTAATTAAGCACATTTTTTAGTTTTGACCTAAACAAATATGAAATTAGTAATATTACCCGAAACGCTCAATTTCCTAAACATTTTGAAGCACACTGATAGTTGAGTTTATAATCAAGTATTTCCCTTTTTATTCTTCAACCATGCACGTTAGAAATTCATTTACACAACATCTACCAAAATTGTTTAAGGTCTCACTTGCTCTAAATAACCAATGCACAATTAATCTACAATTGTACGCAATTTTTTATTTCATTTAATTTCTATTTATCGTGAAAATGGATTCCCGTTTGTAACTTAATCCAATGGGATCAATTGATTGACATTGATAGTTTTAGTAGGCCTCGGGACCACAATTAATATTTTTCACCTGCAGCAGAGCTCGGCCTACCTCATTCTAGTTTATTGTAAAATTAAGCACGAAAAATGGATAATTAGGTGACTGTAACTTACCTGATGAAGCTGCCGTGACCCCATCAAGCAAATCCCATCTTTGTAGAGACAGTCTCGTTCCATAATTAGGGTGTTCCTCATAAAAATCTGAAAGAGCGATGGACATGCATATATTTGCCATAGCACCCATTTTTGAGTTCACATCTAGAACTACACCAATATCATACACCAGCCTGGTGGAATCCCTGGTTCCGTTTAGTCCATTTCCAGCACTTTCTGTTTTTACGGTGAAGGCAATCAAGAAAATAGAAAAGAAAATGAAGAGCAAAAAGGGAAGACAGCGCTTGGAATTTGGCATCGGGACAGAGTAAATCTGGAGGGGCAGTTTTGAAAGTTTCTTCCCTGTTAATTTGGTTAACGTCGTCGTTATATAGGGAGTTTTTTCGTCTGCTTGTGCTTAACGTTTGTTTTGGTGTTTGAAGAAGGAAGAAAAGTCAAGAGCTTTGTAGAAAATATATATATATATATATATATATATATTTGTATTTATATATCGAGGAGCATTGAAAAGTCTTCGCTCGAGTGAACAATATCGTTCAGTCAAATAGAAGGCCTGTTTTCACTTACAATTCAATTAGAAGAATTGGAATATATTTATATTGTTATAAATAATAGATTATCATGAGTCCCACCGACGAGAGTCAGTCAATTTTAATTAAGAAAAACAATAATTAAGAAAAATCATTTACTAACAACTATAGATGGAAGCAGCTTCGTGGTGGCTTCATGGGTAATATGCTGTAAATACTAAATATAATTAATAAAATAATTTTGATATTAATATAGAGTATTGAACTATTAATTTTAATGATCAAAATTTAAATCTTGATAATTTTATATATAAAAAATAATTCCAATGCTTAAGAATGAAGAAATCATTAAGAATTTAAATAATTTCAAAGAGAAACCCCAGTAGCTAGAACTTGAGAGACTTAATCCTCTTAAAAGTTTAAGATTCAATTCTAAGATGGACTTGATAACATTCATAGAATAGAATGGAAGATGATAATCTTTCATTACATAAATCTAGATCATATGTGTAAAGAACAAAAATAAAACATAAATGATCAATGATATAGTCCTTTAATTAAGTGGTGTTAATTGTTGTTGTAAATCTGTTAAGTTTTGAATATTTTGAAGCTTTTATATTTAAATTGAATCTTTTTATCTATTATCAATTAATTAGACTAAATACTTAAAATTATATCAAAACTTGAATTTGTTTCATTCTGTCTGTGTGATAAACTCTTTTTAAAAAGAGAGATCATAATTAATAGATTTGTTCATGGATGGGGCAATTTATCTTTACTTGAAAGCTTTTTCAAAATTTTAAAGGGCTTGGATTGAACATTAAAGCTGTTAAATAAACTTACATAAATAAATGATACTCAATCAAAAACTAAGATTAAACTTGAGTTTCACCGTTTAAGATCCAAGCCCACCACTGTTTAAGACTCAGGCCCTACCGTAAAAATAAAAAATATTTTTTATTATAATGGGATAAATCCCATTTACTTTATATTTTATAATAAAAAATGTTCATTTATTTTATTATTTATAATATGATAAAATTTATTTTTTTATACAAAATAATGATCTAATTTTAAATTACATTTAATAAAATTAAATTAAACACAATCCCAATGACTCATAAATTTAATTTTAAATTAATTAAATTAGTTGAATTAATAATTTAAAAAAAAACTTTTTTCCTTAATTTTAAATACTAATATTTTAGATGGATTTAGATTTTATTATTATATGTAAGAACGAATTTAAATAAAAACTAATCTAAAAAATTAGATCAAATGAGACTTGAATTTGTTTAAAATATTAAAATATCATATCAAATTCGTTTCGAACTTGGACTGACCCAACCACGAGCATGTCTTATAATTAATGGACAAAGGAAATTTTTTCATGGCATTGGATATAATTCGGAGCGCAAAGCAAGAACAAAAGTGTTAATTGAGTTTGATTCCAAAACTATTGCGACTAAGGAACCTTGTTTCTTATCGTGTAGATCAGTTATATCATGAAGAGAATTTTCTTTTTCAAAAAAAGAAAAAACTATAAAAGGCATCCCAAATTAAAGTATTTTTATACGTTATATCGTTGTATCATACACTATAAATTCAAAAAATAAATCCCCCCCCCCCAAAAAAAAAAAAAGCCTCTTCTTGAATCTTGACTTTTGAATTCTTTGCAACGAGAAAGAGGTATAGAATATCAGAACCAATGTAGCTACTAGCGAAATTTACATGTCTTTGAAAAATGTCTTCTTCTACAATTAAAGGAAGCGCGTATGCCAGATTCCCCGTATCAAAATTTGAAACATTTGCACCTGTTAATTATTTACATTGGGTGGCACCGGAACCATTTATATTTGTTGTTCTTTAATTTGCCATTAATCTTAGCAAACTAAACATCATTCGCTACTCCAATGGAAGCTAAAAATTAAACTGAGTTGACTGACTCTTTCCGCAACTTGTGCTCCAGCATCTGCCTGAAAAGAAAGAGAAACGAATTGATTAAAAGAATTTTGATTTACATTTTGAATTCCAAATTTAATTCAATTAATTTATATAGTTATTTTTAAGAAGTGTGTTCCAATCCTAAAAGCTATAAATTTTTTTTTTTTACATTTAGGTTGGGACTTCTTTCATATAAAAGTAAAAATTGATTAAAAAGATGATTAAATTATGAAAATACTAACTACTTTTAAAAAATGTTAATGAGCCAAGATATATAAATGCTCAAATTCAATTTCTAGATACCAAGCTGCATTGCTTACGAAAATGTTTGAGAAAGTTATTCAATACTAGACCATATGAGTTGGTCCTCTGTTTTTTTCTTCGGCAAGAGAGTCTTGGTCCTCTTGTGAGAGTGGAAAAAAATTTTTATACGGTGATGGACTTTTTTATTGTTAATAAATATATAATAAAATGTGAATGAAGCAAAACTCAACAGGGACAAGAAAGTAAATAGAGAAAGCGGTTATCTATCTATCTAGCTAATAATAAAAAAAAATGTTATCAACCAATATAATTATGATCCAATATAGTATGGCTGAATCTTTCTTTTCTTTTAATTTCCAACCTTTTTGGATTCCTTTTATGAATATGTATCACCACCATATTGTGAGTGTCTGAGTAATTTCAAATAATTTATTACTACTTTGAAAAATGTCAGGAAATCAAATTCATTTAATTATTTTTTTCGAGATTATAAATAGAAATTATAAGGGATAATTTCTTCTATGGTTCTTGAATTATTAAAATATTTAATGTTATTCTTAAATTAAAAAATAATTAATTATTTAATTCGTGTATTAATTTATCTTATTTAATATTGTTAATAAAAAATAATGATGCGATAATTAATTAGATTTTTTTTTACAAAAAAAATTTTAATTGATTTAACACGTTCAAAAAACCGAATTTAATGAAGTAAATAATTCTTATTTGATGTTGTTTATCGGTCAAGTCAATATGGTACGTAACCGTGTTGCGCCCGTCTAAAAAGGATGAAAATTATGAACAGTTTCCACGTTTGACTAGCCAAACTTCATCGGAAACCGCTAGAAGTTGAGAGAGGAAAGAAAGGGACTTTAGTTTTGAAATTAATTTATATTTGGAATTTCCATTCCAACCCCTCATTTTTAGTTAAATAATTTTATTTTTTGAGTTTGAGAAAATAAAAAATTAAAAATAAAAGAATAGAAAACTTGTTGGTCCTGCCATCATATTTAGATTAAATAATGAAAAATAAAAAACATTGAATTATAATATTCAAAGTATTTAGGTCATATATTTGATATACAATATTATTATAAAATAAAATGATATTATGAATAAGATTAAATTAAATAATATCATTTTATTTTGTGTTTGATGTATATAAAAATTATAATAAAATAATTTATTTATTTATCAAAATTATTTTTCTCTCAAAGTTTATATAATTTAAATTATTGATATAATTTTTAAAGTATATAATTAGATATGTAAGTTTAATATCATGGATTAAAAATAATATTTTGCACTTGGGGAGGATTAAATAATTAATATGCTAAGAGGATATTAATTCTTCTTGTAATCTCTATTAATTTATTTAAATATAAATTAAACATGATATAAAATAATGATTATCTTATCTTATCAATAATCTTATACATTAAAGATGACCTTAAATATTTATATTAATAAATTACAATGGATGAGATATCAAACTAAATTATTTATGAATGATCTAATTGTTATTATGATTGGACTAAAAAAATGATAAAGGCTGTACATCATGCTATTATCAAGACAAAAAGAAACTGCTAACTCAAGCTATCAAGGACTGCAAAAGGAATTCTTGTAGTTGTTGTTTGAAAGAAAACCTGGAAGGAAATTCAAACTTAAGCCAAGTTTATTAAATTTGGTCTCCATCAACACATTCTATTGGCAAATAATCAATCTATTTTTGCAAACCAGTAACAAAAGTTTAGTCCGATCAAGCAAAAACACACATGGGGAGAAAATTGAAAAGTGATTTACATACTTAAAATCAATAACTCATATCGAGTCCTAAACATCAATAGGAAATCCAGAAATTTGTATTTTGAATTTAGGTTACAAATAGACCTAATGGATATGAAATATTTACCATTGTATGAAAGGTTGTTAATATCATCATCGCGTATTGTTTCAAATTTTTTTTTTTTTAAATGTGTTGGTATCAATTGTTTCGATATGTTATTTTAAATTTTTTATTTAATACAAATATATTTATAAATATACATGAATTTGTATATAATAATACTATTAATAATAAGCAAAATAAATATACAATATCTTAAAAAACTAAATAAATAAGTTTAAAAATATAACAAATAATATCATCAATTTATCATGACATTTTTAAACATTTTATTTGATCATATGATATTTATATAAATATTTTTTATGTAAAAATATATTAAGATAAAAATAAAGAGATGAAAAAGAAATTAATTTTAATTTTAGGGTTCTTAAACTTTAGAAAAGGGGCATAATTATTTTTTTTTTAAAAAAATTGAAATACTTATGAATTCTGCTTTGGAAAAATAAAGTGTAAAAAAAACAAGTTGCAGTAAAAAAAAAAACTAACTTTTAAGGTTTATTTTGTTCATTAGTTTTATTTTTATTAGACTAAAAGTAACCAAACAACAAAAGATAAATTAAAAATTATAAAATATATTTTACATTCATATATCGACCATAATAAGCTGTTTTATCAAAATTCAACAAAATCAATCGAAACAAATGAAAACAATTGATATTATCTAATATCAAGTT